TTTATGCAAGCTGTATAAAATAAATGTGTCTCTACCTTAGTGGGACTTCTGACACTGAGAGGAGGAGGCCAGGGTCTCATAAGCTGGGCAGTATGAGGTGGTTGCGAGGCGCAGGCAGGTCTCCAGATGATCATCATTCATTGTGGATCTGTTTTTGGACTTGATGATTTTCATGTGTGAAAAAGCAGACTCACACAGGTAGGTAGATCCAAAAAGTGCTGTTAAGTTCAAAGCACATCTTCGGATGTTAGGATACTTTTCTTCTGACAGCAGACTCCAGAACTCTCCATCCACGCCAGGTGATGCTCTGGATTTGATCCCAATGTCATTTTGCAGACTCAACACCTCATTTTCAACACCAGAGCTGTCCAGCTGAAACACGGACACCAATTTGGACACAATGTCATCCACATCAACATTTCCAAAAGGATAACACATGTAGCTGGTAACAGGCTCGATGGAGGAAAAGTCAGTAAATCGTCTCTCAAATTCTGCTGAGATGCTCTGAACCTGCTTAGAATAGTGTGCACTGTCCAGTTGTAGGACCTCTTTCCCTTGGCGCTGTAGCTCTGCCTCCATGTGTGGGAAGTTTCGCAGGTCCCTGCGTTGCAGCCGACTTGTGAGCAGTTGCAGCCTGCCTTTGAAGGTGCTCACAGAACTGATCATGTGGATTATGTTTTTGTCCTTTCCCTGAAGCTCCAAATTCAGTTCATTGAGCAGGCTGGTGAGATCTGTGAGGAAGGCTAAATCCAAAAGCCACTGGGTGTCCTCTAGTTTTGAATGTTCACCATGATCTGACAGCTTTAGAAAATCCCTGATCTCAGGCAACAGCTCACTGAATCTGTCCAGAAATTTCCCTCTGCTTAGCCACCTGACGTCCATGTGCAGCAGCAGGTCTGTGTGGTCTGCTCCTGCCTCCTCCAAGTGAGCCCGGAACAACCTCCTCTGCAGACTCCTGGACCTTATAGAGCACACAGTTTTCATGGCAACATCCATCACTTCCTTCATGTTTAAAATCTTCCCACACAGGGCCTGTTGGTGGATGATGCAGTGATAGTGCAAAATGTCTGGGAAAGCATCATTCTGCTTGCAGAGTGCAACAAATCCACTGGTGTGACCAGTCATTGCTGGAGCGCCATCAGTTGTTATAGAAATTAGTTTAAAGAGGGGCAAGTTGCTTTTATTAACAAACTCCATAAACACATTAAAAATATCTTCTCCTCTTGTATGTCCCTTCAAAGGCAAGATGGTGAGCAGCTCCTCTTTTGCACTCATGTCTGCAAAGGCCATTCTGATAAAAACACACAGCTGGGCTACATCCACCATGTCTGTCGACTCATCAAACTGAAGAGAGAAACACTCACATTGTTCCACGTCCTTTTTTAGCTGCTCCTCCACATCCACAGCCATTCCCTCACATCGCCGTGTCACTGTTTGTCTGGACAACTGCACGTCTTTAATAGCAGCTACGATCTCACTTTTATTTTTAAAATCATGAAAAAGCGCATCTGCAGCCTCAATAAACGCTTCTTTCATAACTTGTCCATCGCTGAAAGACTTCTTATGTTGAGCCAGGATGCGGCTAACACGGTAGGAAGCTATCGTAGCAGCTTTACCTTTTGTACTGGGCCGAGTGAAGACTGATTGCTGGGCTGCAAGCTTGTTTTTTAGCTCCCGCACTTTCTGAGTCCGTAAAGAACTTTTAAGAGGGAAATCTGTCTCAAACTGTTTGTGCATCGTCTTGAAATGCCGCTCCAAGTTACACTTTTTGGGTAAGGCAATGCTCGAATTACAGATGAGGCAAATGGACTTCGAATTAGAATAAACAAAAAAATACTCCTCCTCCCACTCTGTGTGAAAATAATAAGTTTTCGTTTGCTTGTTCGCTAGTTTTCCATCCATGTTTTCTGCGCACCGACATTACTCCACTACTGAGCCTAAAGTCTCGTGAGAGCACTGTGTCACCGCACCCAAAACTCGCGAGACTATGTCTGTGAGAATACAAGTCAAGGCTTTGCTTCAGTCGCCCGCGAGCGACTGGTTGGGCACACCTGATCTACAGCTTTTGCTGGAGCGGTTTGCAGCCGAGTGTGACGCAGCCGGTATGAGGATTAGTTCCTCCAAATCCGAGGCCGTGGTCTTGAATCAGAAAAGGGTAGAGTGCCCTCTCTGGGTCAGGGAGGAGGTCCTGCCCCAAGTGGAGGAGTTTAAGTATCTTGGGGTCTTGTTCACAAAAGAGGGAAAAATGGAGCATGAGATCGATAGGCGGATAGGTGCAGCGTCAGCAGTGAAGTGGGCGCTGTACCGGTCTGTTGTGGTGAAGTCAAAAGGCGAAGCTCTCAATTTACCGGTCGATCTACATTCCTACCCTCATCTATGGTCATGAGTTTTGGGTTGTGGCTGAAAGAACGAGATCATGGATACAAGCGGCCGAAATGAGTTTTCTCTGCAGTGTGTCTGGGCTCTCTCTTAGAGATAGGGTGAGAAGCTCGGTCCTCCGGGAGGGACTCAGAGTAGAGCCGCTGCTTCTCCACATCGAGAGGGCATCTGGTTAGGATGCCTCCTGGACGTCTCCTTGGGGAGGTGTTCCGGGCACGTCGGGAGGAGACCCAGAGGAAGACCCAGGACACGCTGGATGTTTCTCAGCTGGCCTGGGAGCGCCATGGAATTCACCCAGAGGAGCTGGCCTAAGTGGCTGGGGAGAGGAAAGTCTGGGCCTCCCTACTTAGGCTGCTACCCCCGCGACCCGACCCCGGATGAGTGGAAGAAAATGGATGTATATGTATATATATATATATATATATATATATAGTTGTGGACACTCAAAGGGATAATTATTCCATCAAATGATTCTGTAGCTAAACCAGAGCTCATTTAGCACCAGTTTCCACTGTTAAAAGCTGCAGCGCTGGAAAAACCGGTTTAATTTGCCACCAACTCAGAAGGAAAATCAATCCTTTACTGGAAAATGCGGTTGCTGATTTCATTGGAACGGGTTGAGAGAATCGGCTGTATGTTGGTCTGCCGACGTCTGCCAGCACTCAGTGAGCAGTCATGAGCTAGACATGTATAAAGGAACACGTCCAAAAGGCCAAGTTGGCTGAGCAGGCTGAGCATTATGATGACATGGCTGCTGCGATGAAAATGGTGACAGAGGAGGGCGAGACATTAACGAATGAAGAGCACAACCTGCTGTCTGTGGCCTACAAAAATGGAGTACGTGCTCGTTGCTCCTTCTGGCACATAATTTTCAGCTACGAGCAGAAAACCGAGAACAACGAGGGCAAACAACAGAAGGCCAAAGAGTACCGGCACAAAACTGTGACAGAGTTGAAGGAGATCAGCATTGACGTTCTGCTACAGCGTGCGCTCTCATGCAGCGTCCCCTCGGTATGGACTGAACTAGGCAAAAGGACCTTCTCCTACCCCGCTCCTGTTTCCTGGAATATCTTGTAAAAAGATCTGAAGCTCTCGACCTTGACCTCTCTAAGTGGCTTCAAACATCTGATAAGTTCCTGGCAAACACCAAAGCAGACATGTTCCTGTTTTTAGTATTTTACATTGTTTTATAATGTAGCTGTTTTGGTTTCGTTTTTATTTAATTTCTTTTATTTACTTTTCATTTTATATGCTTTTATATGATTGTCTGTTGTTGTCTGTAACTCATCTGTGTTCTTTGTTCAGGTCTCTGGTAAATGAATCCTCATGGCTCAATGAGACTAACCTGTAGAAATAAAGGTTGAATGAATCATTTACTGGAAAATTTACTGGAAGAGGTATTTAATGTGATGTGGTTCAAAGCTTAACTGGTTCATGTTTTTGAAGAACCACTTGCGGATCAGCTCTGAAACCTTTTTAGTGGGAAATCCCAAAAAGTGCTCTACTGCTCAAAAATGTCATCAGCTCAAGTCAGCAGTTCTCCATGCAAACCAGTGGTTTGGTTAGCACTGTTGCCTCACAGCCAGAAGGGCCTGGTTCAATCCCCGGTCTGGACCGGGAGTCTTTCTGGGTGGAGTTTGCATGTTCTACTCGTGTTTGCGAGGGTTCCCTCCCAGTCCAAAAACATGCATGTTCAGCTGCCTTCAGACCCAGGAGGGCCTTGTAAAAGAGATATGTCATCTTAATGGGATTTGACTGGAAGGTTAGTAATAAAAATTAATAGGCTAATGATAAACCCCAGCCAGAGGTAAACTCTGCATTCCCTTCTTTGGTCACTTTTTTCCTAGATAAATAAAAAAAACTAACTGGAAGGCCTCCGCTAAGACTTCTGCCACATGCTGTTCATGCCAAACCTTCAGCCACTCAGAGCTGATCAGCTTCAGTTTCGCAGGACAACAAAGACAGAAAGGTGTTTTCCTTCTGCCAGCTGAAGGTGTCCACCACCACCTTTTCCAGACACCTGACAACAGGACTCTGTGTAAATAATTGTGTAATGCTAAACTGATGATGTTTTTTATTTGACTAATTTTATTTGTATAATTTAAAAACAATTGTATGCTTTCTGTTTCTCTAAAATAAAATAAAAACATTATTTTTGTGACCACATCAACACAAGGTTGTTGTTTAAATTAGGATCAGTAAACACTGTTTACAACATACAAAAATAAAGAGGAGCAATATTTGAATTTCAATAAAAGGTAAGATTAAATCTACAGATTTCAAGAATATCCTGACTACAAATTTAAAGAAAAGTACAAAATAGGTTTGAAAAGCAAGTGTGACACATTTAGTTTTCATTTGGACATTGTTTGAATAGACAAGTTCAAGAAGTTTATTGATCAGCTTTTATTTCATGAAACTTGACCACAGACATACCTCCGAGGTCACGTGACACAGATTGATCACGTGTACGTCGCTGCACGGAAATACTGTACTCTCATTGGCTGAAAGTTTTAAAGGAAAGCAGACTCCTCTCTCTGATTGGTCAGCAGTCTTTTCTTCCTGGTTCTCAACAAATAACGAATTTCACTTGTTTTCAAAAACAGGGGAGAGTTTTTAAAATGTCACACAGGAGCATCTCCTCCGTGACTCTGCTCGTCTTCTGCCTGCTCGCATCTGTAAGCTGCAAGTTTCCGAGTTTGGACCACATCGAACCAACAGCCAGCGACAAGGCGCAAACCCGAGCCGTGTACGAGCTGCTGAAGCGGCTGGTGGGGGACAGATCCTCGGAGTTCATGGTGTCGGTCAACAGGAGCCTCTCCAACGACAGCCTGGACGTGTGTGAGCTCAGGTCCACCAAAAACAACAAGATAGTGGCCGCTGGCAGTACCGGGGTGGCCGTGGCGTCTGGAGTCTACAACTATCTGAAATATTTCTGCAACTGTCACGTGTCGTGGTCTGGGGACCAGCTGGATGTGCCCAGTCCTCTGCCCAGACTCACCGGGGTCCTCCGGATCAGCTCGCCCCACAGGTAGCCGCAGCTAGGTTAGCGCAGTCCGTGAAAACAACATTTTTACTGTTGGAAATTACTGAATAAACTGGTACAATGTCGACAGTGCTGCTCTGGTTAAAGAACAGAAAACTGAACACTGGCTAAAAGCTTAAGAAGCAAAATGTTTGCTGCAAAAGGCAAGCTAAATGCTAAAACTTAGCAAAAAGCTAGGTAAAAGTCCGAAAGCTAAAATGATCTAAATAACTAAAATCAAGTTAAACAGTAGCTAGAAGTAGGAAATTGATAGCTAAAAGCCAAAAAAGCAAAAGGCAAGCTAAATGCTCAAACTTAGCATAAAGCTAAGTATGTCAGAAACAAGCTGAAATATGCTAAAGAACCAAAATCAAGTAAAACACTAGCTAGAAGTAGGTTAATGATAGCTAAAACTTAGCAAAAAGCTAAAAGTCAGTCTCTCCACCATCACAGACATCTAACCCTCCAGATGCAGGAAGAGGGCCACCTGCATCATGAAGGACCACACTCACCCAGCACACACACTTTTTGCCCCGCTCCCCTCAGGAAGAAGGTTGAGGAGCATTAAGTGTAGAACCACTAGACTGAGGAACAGCTTCTACCCTGAGGCTGTTAGACTCATGAATCTCTAACTAGAATAATCACTGTGAAAAATCACTGTAATGCAACTTTGATTGTGTGCTGCTGATCTCATGCTGCTGATCTGTTTCATGCTGCTGTGTTCATTTGTACTCATCTGCTCACACAGACTCATGTTCGTGCTGCTGTTCAGCGTATTGTTTGTGTACTACTAGTACTTAGTGTATTCTTAGTTTAGTGTATTTCTGAGTTCATATCTTAGATCTTATTACTTTTTCTTTACAATTTATACTTTTGTTGGATGTAACTGGGACCCTGTGTACACAGTTTCATTCCACCACATGTACCACATGCAGGGTAAGACACGACCTTGAAAAAAAAAAGTAAATAGCTAAAAGCAGCAAAAGGCAAGCTAAATGCTAAAATCTAGCAAAAAACTAGGTAAGTCTGAAAAGATTACGGTACCTACAAGCTAAAATTATCTAAATAAATAAAGTACAACAGTGGCTAGAAGTAAGATGCTGTTAGCTAAAAGTAGCTAAAAGCAGCACCAGAAGGCCAAAATACACTCAATACTGCACACTGAAGCAGATTTAAAAGAAAACAATATTTTAAAATAACTAAAGAGTTCTCAGTGTATTTATGGAAATTACTTATAAATAAATAGTTTGAAAAAGGTATAACCGTTACAACAAATCAAAAGTCAGCACACATGTCGTTAATGAGCAGCAGTAGTAAATGATGTCGTGTAAAAACAGTAACCAGCACGTTCATGAGAGCATCTCACTTCATCCTCGGTTCAATTACTTTTCTTTTTCAGGTCTCTCTTGTAAATGGCCCCCGAGGCTCATTGGGATTAACCTGTCTAAGTAAAGGTTGAATGAATGAAAAAGAAGTTTTTAAAAAGTCTCCTCTGCTCCTGTTTGTCTCCTCTGAGGAGAACAACAAAAACATGTAAAAGGAGTGAAGACGTGCGAGTTGTCACGGGGTTGTGTTGGTGACGACGCTCAGATGCAAGACGTTCACTAAACACGACCTGAAGTGGCAGTTCACATATTTTGAAGGGCTGTTCTGTGGAAATATTATGAACGATTAACACGTTGGACCCACTGTGCATGAATCAGAGTAAAACTCCAGCTTGACTCTGTGCAGTCACTTGCTGCTCTGCGTGGTCTGGATGTTTCATCACTCGGATCACTGAGACCGTCGTGACGCTGTTGCATAGCTCTTTCAGCTAACAAGTCTGTTTATTTTCAGATTCCGGTATTATCAAAACGTCTGCGCCTTTAGTTATTCTGCTGTGTGGTGGGACTGGCCAAGATGGGAAAAGGAGATTGACTGGATGGCGCTCAATGGGATCAACTTGCCGCTGGCTTTCACTGGTCAAGAAGCTCTGTGGCAGGAGGTAAGACCTGAAAACCACAGGGTCACTTTTGGTTTATTCTTGTTTGTTATCAAAGAAAAATCCATTTAAGATAAACAAACTTAAATATCTGAGGGAAATAATTCAGGGAGTCGGGACTAAACATCTTTTTAATTGATTCAAAAGTGGCCATAAATAAAATAAACTGGGTGAATAAATGTAAACTCCATGAAAAGTGAGCCAGGATCGTCTGTATGAACATTAAAATCTCCTGCTACAATAAACTCAACAGTATTTGAACGTTTCTTAAAAATGTTAACTTTTAACGTGACATTTTTAAGGTATTTAAAATGGTATATGAAGTGCCTACAAGCTGTCCAGGGGCCTCATGTATGAACAGTGCATACAACAGAACGTCTAACGCACCTTACAAATGACCAGAACAACCTCACTTCCATGGAAACTACAGTTTCTTATATTTTTGTCACGTCGATGTAAACGCACGTCGGCGAGTGCACGCCTGCGAGGCGCACACACAGAGGAGGAGCTTAAAGTGTGTGGACTGTGTAACGGGGACTTCCATCATCACTGAGAAGAAAACCATGTCAGACCAGCAAATTAATTCAGAACTCCTCTGATGACGACTCGGGTCCACAACGTGCACACAGTTGCACATCTGTCCATAAAAAGCTGCGTAAAGTTGAACATGGTTGTGGGACAGTGACGGCTGTGGTGCTGCAGGACAACATGACCAGTAGAAGAACTGGGAGGCAGCGTGTTTTCAGGGCTCACACCAAACAAACACTGATGGAGTATTTCCGGGTCGGCCCTGAGCCGTGCCGGCCTCAGCCGTATGATGCCCCCCCGCAGCTGAAAGGCTTTGTTGAAGTGCAGCCACTCCTTTGCTTTCATCAGCTATTTAGAGAATAGCTTCCTTCTTAGTTCAATGAGCTCCTGAGTGTCTCTTTGTTTACAGTAATTATGTTTTAAACACATGAATGTTGGAAATAAAGACTCAGACCTGGGCCGCAGGCTGATCAGTGTCCCGCTTCATGGTGTAGAGGTAGGCCAGCTGACTTGGGACCACCATGCCCACATGTCGTGGTGTCCTTTTAGCAAGACACCCAATTAGGGGTGCACCGATAAATCATCCGGCCCATCGGTGATCGAGGTCGGTGGCAATTTACCCCGATCACCATCTCTAAAAAGTCTGACCTGCCGATTCTGATTTAGTTTTATAAGCGACACTGTCGGGTGTTCTGATGTCACAAAGCACCTTCAATTGTCCAATATTATTTTACTGAAAAACACCCTTGATCAATATCCTAGAAACAGTACAAACTGGTTTTAACTGGCCATGAGGTCGTACTCTGAATATAAATGAAGTGTGCCAACGTTCAGTAGGAAACTCACAAGGTTTGATACACACGGCCCCAGACCTGCCAACCTGTACGCACTTGGTGTAGAAGGCACTCAGTTTAATGCCAAATATACTTTTAGTACTTGTCTCTGAAGTACGCAAAAACCACAGAAGCTTGTATTTAAAGGGATATTTCAGATCTTTTGAAGTAGGGTTATGTTGAAAGTTTAGAAACAACTAATATTGTACCCAGGGCAGGATTAAGGAGGGGGCGGACCCTTGAGCTACTTTTGGAGCCCCATCAACATTTCTTTAACCCATACAAATTGCAAAACTGATTCCATAATAATGTATGTATATATATATATATATATATATATTTAATAATGGTAAATGAACTGTACTTGTATAGCACCTTTTTACCTTTTCAAGGTACTCAAAGCTCTTTACAACAATCTGTGCCTCATTTATCCATTCATACAGCTCTATACTAGATCTCTACAAAAAGATTAATCTCTTTCATGCACACAATGTCCACTCATTAAGTAACCTTTATCACATTCAGACACTGATGGGACACACATCAGAGGCAATGAGGGGTTCAGTGTCTTGCCCAGGGACACTTCGGCATGTGACTGCTGGTGGATTCGAACCCCCAACTCTTGCACTGGAGGACGACTGCTCTAACCACTGAGCCACAGCCGCCCCAACAGTTAGTTACAGTTGGTACAACTCTGATAGGATAGGGAGCAGGAGCAGAGCGTCTTGTTTCCATAGCATCCAAGGAGAAATTGAGATAGTCCAAGGCCAGATTCAGATTTCAACATTGTTTTGAGTCAGGCCGAGCTCATTCGTTTACAGTCTCACTAGTACATCTCACGGTGACTCCAAACAGCCAAACTGTGATTATTTATGCCAAAGTCAGGCTTACAACTTCTCCAATATCTATTCCTTCCACGCTGCCAGAAGTTCCACAGTCCTGCCTACTCAACTCTGATACAGGTCCAAAGATGGTTCGCACAGAGTCTGAGTGTTGATGCCCGGCACACACATGCCAGACAGCTTAAACAGCTGCTGCGTTTCCAGATTTGTCGATAATCCAGATTTCCACCGACTCCAAAAAGCAGGATCCAGTTATCACAAATGAAATTATGTTTGAGGTAAGAGGGCTGTCCTTCACCCTGTCTTCTTGTTGAGAAAATTTGATCAATTGCGTTGAGAAACCAGCTGAACAAGTCCACAGTTTACAATTCTTAAGGTATGCAAAAAGGGGCTATGTAAGAGGTACACAAGACAAAGAGCAAAGCAGGGATGGATAGAAGGGAAGAAGAGTGACTGTCTTCGTCAAGGGCAAGTCAGACCCCCCCCCCCCCCAAAAAAAAATAAATAAATAATTCTACTATTAAAGTTCAATAAACAAAGAAAATTGTTTCCTTTTTCTTGAAGTAAACATAGGGATCAATTCTGACCCCAACATCATGTTATTCTTGTTATTGTAGTGAACTAGGCCTCAGGTCGAATCTGGCCTTGAGGGGCCTTCCTGGAACAAGAACTGTTATTTCATTGATTTGAGTCCAGAAACACAAGATTAAGTTCATCCAGAGACTTTCTAAGTGTCCTGCACTGATCAATTGAAAGAACACTCTCTTTTTCTATTATCATTACTATTTTACAAATGTTTTGATAATCAAATTGTGTTTAGTTCAAACCATTTTCAAATGTTGAAGTGAACTACTCATTTTAAATCAACTGTGAAACAGTATTAGTGATTTTTATCCTCATTCAAAGTAGAAATCAGGTTAATGATGCATTGTCTGATTTTCTGTCTGAAATGAGCAAGTTGTGTAAGTTGGTCAAAGGTCAAGTTTCGGTCAACTGCAAGTTTACTGAAAAAGAAATGTCATGTTTAACTTTTACAGAAAGATACTAGAGAATTGACTCCACGAAGTCTGAGTTCTTCATAATATCTTCTGTCTGTTCTTAAACAATCTAATCTTTTTCCCTTGACTTTTAATAACCTCCTACATCACAAAAACACACCTCTGTTTGGTCAACCGACCAATCAGAAAGGTCTCAAATGAACCGGAAGTGACCTCTTTTAAAAGGTGCAACACTTCCTAGTTCACGGAAGTTCTGGGGAGTTCAGGAGAACGCTGAGAGAATGCTGTGAGTTGGTTCCGAGAGCAGCAGAGTTCAGAATGCTCAGGACATCTGCGACTAAGCTGAACAAGAGAAGTTCAGAGGAATTATGAAGAAGTCTGTTCTAGGATGATCTCACGACTCCGAACGGTTTTTGCTATTCTTACGGAGACGCTGAAAAGTGGCTTGAAGTGGAACTTTACGCCGGAACTGACATATCTTCAGAAAGGTAAAAAGTCGATCTTCAACCGCAAAGCGTACCGTTGGGTAAGCTGGGCCCAGAAGGAGCGTGTTGTTCTGGTTATAACAGACAAATTCCCTCACCCATCTCTCTCAAGATAAACCTCATTTTCCATCTTTAAAACTCTTCTATTCTGCTAGCAAATCATTCCAGATATTTTCAGAAATGTCTGTTGTAAAGCTTGAACCCAGATACCATGGCTTATGGTCTCTGAAAGCTTGCTAATTAATTATGCTGTTGTTTTTTTCAATTTTGCCAAATTAATGTAAATGTTTGATGTTAAATTTTGATTCTGAAAATAAATGACCACATTCATTTGATGGGTCAAAGAAAATTAACGTCTCACGTTACATTTTTAATTATTCAATGCACGATATTATTCAGTCCAGAAAAATGAATGAATCTGTTTAATTTATGAATACATCACAGTATATGTTCATCTACTTTATGTTACAATATGTTTTAAAAATCAATAAATACAATAAATGTATTCAAGAGATGTGTTCTAACACTCCTCAGTAACAGTCAGATAACATAATTACCAATTATTTATTTTTAACATTCTGTTGGGGTTAATTTTACTTTTTTATATATTGAAAATGTGATGAAAGCTGAAAAACAGTCATGGGATGCCACACTGAAAATATAAAAATATTTTTTATGGAAAAGGAAACCTAATAAAGTAACCAGGAGTTATGAAACAAATTTGGCAATAAAAAACATTTTGATGGAATTTTTTTGTTAATTTTAAAACAGTGGATAGTAACAGAAAGCCAACACTACAGGAAGGTTAGGCTTAGACTACTGGAGGACAAAATGACCTCATCTCCTTAAATGAATTGTTCAAATTGAATAGTTTTCATTTGATACTGTTTCTATCTTAGCATGTGATTCTTGACCTGCCATTGTGTAGCTGTTACTATCAAACCCATCCGGTTGAAGCAGATGGTCCTCTTGTCCTGATCCTGGTTCTGCTAAAGGTTTCTTCTTCATGAGGGAGTTTTTCTTTCCACTGTCGCCTTCATGCTTGTTCAAGATGAGAGTTCAGTGATGGAGTTAACTCAAAGCTGCTCCTCAGATAAATAATGTTCAATTATTATTTTATAGATGAATGTTTCTGTTCACTGCCCTGAGACGACTTCTGTTGTGACTTGGCGATTTACTGTATAAATAAACTGAGTTGAATTGAATTAAAAAGTTGGGTTACCATATCAAAATCCAAGATGGCTGCACCATATATGTATATATGTAAACCTTGTGAGCTGAACAACTTAATAACTAAAAATAAGCAACATGCCCCCT